CTTTGTTTAAATTCGAAAGTAAATCCTGACAATCCTTTGCGTACAAAAAACACTCGTACAGCAGGCAGTAGATCCATAAACTGATCTAACACTTTGCCTTGACTCAGATATCTAACTTCTGCAAGCACTGCCCAAGTCACCATCCTGTGTTTCATACTCCTCAACTAAAGCTCAAAATTGTCTGGGTCAAGGCATTCGTAACAATGAAGTTGATGATTTTTGTGATGCTTTCCATTGTGCTCTTCAGTTTGTTGCATAACTGTTCTTGGTGCAGAATGCAATGATATGAAAAGAAATCTAGAAACCGTGGATTTTTCTTCAGCAAATAAATTAGCCCCTTCTCTTTTCTAAACATGGAGGGAGCGCTATCAGTTGTTACCAAAGTAAGCTTCTTCAAATCAATGCATTTTCCTGGTACTTCAAAGAATGCCATCAGCACAGAATAACGTCCTCTCCCCTAGTATGACCCATCAAAGGTAGCAGAGTAAGCATTTCTTCAGCATACTTTTTGCCATTTAAAAAACGCACCCAGAGAGATTTGTCTGAACAATCAGTAGATTCATCCAATGCCAGACTGAAATACTCAGTGCTTTCAATGTCTTTTAGCAATTTAGAAAATTTGCCTGAGAAGTTTTCAATTCGTCTTAATACAGTTGAATCAGACACTTGCAGTTTTGATATTTAACAATGTCCTCTTTGTTTTTAAAAGTTTCAAAAAGTGATTTGCTGGAGTCCAAGAAGCACTGCTGCATCAATTCACCTTCAGTAAAAGGTCTTTTTTGTGTTAGCTATGTGCCAAGCCATTTTGAAGGAGGCTTCTGTAACAACATCACTGTCTTTAACTTGCGAATGGAACATATCTTGTTGAGTACAGTAACCTTTCATTCCTGAACGTATCTTAGTTTTTCCTAAATTGCTGTCAGGTGTATGTAAGTGTTTGAAATCAGGGTGACAAGATTCATGGTGCCATTGCAGGTTTGTTTTCTTTAACACTGTGAGAGTCTTTTGACAAAGATGACACATTGGTTTTCCATTTATCTGCAAAAGCGATTCCATTTTCCCAACAGGGTTGAAAACCCTGTATTCATCCAACAAGCGTCTCCTCTTTGTTGCCATTTTTAATGCTTCTTATTAAAAAGGAAATTGGATAGCAGTGTTTTTGGGTGTTTCTTCAGGTTGTGCATTTCTTCGAGTGATTTTTACTGTGAAATGAAAAGTTTCCAAACCAGGGTGCTCCAGTCTGCGGCGGGCGGGGGAGTTGGGCAAGTCAGGCTGGACATGAGAGGCAAAAATGGACAATTGCCCGGGAGCCCCATCCTCGATTCCCAGCAGGGCTGATGCTCTATGTGGAGTCTGTCATTCCATGCGGGACAGAAGCAGGGCTGCCTGGCCATGGCACTGGACCCTAACGTGGCCATGGCACTGGACCCTGACGTGGCCAGTGTGAGCCAGTCGGCACTTCTCTGGCTCTACCCACAACGCTAAGCAGCCAGCACTTCCCACAATATCCTGGCACTCCCAGCACCTCCTCTCTGGGGCTTGAAACGCTGATACCCTGTACCCGTCTATTCCAGCCAGCCCGTCCGCTTGCGTCTTTGAATGTTCGCCCTGCCTCGGAGATGCCTCGCCATTGTGGAGCGTGTTCCCAGTAGAGGCTATGTTCAAAGGATCCCACCCGTAGGCTGAATGTTGAGTAGTCCTGGATTAAATGAGTTACACTGTGCCAAACAGTGAGTCAGTGCTAAGATTAGAAAACAGAGTGCCTGGTGGCAAGGTATCTCTTTAAACCATCAAGACATGTTTTCTTTTTAATGTACATTATTCAGAAAATCAAAATGAGAGGATTGTAGGCAATTGCTACACAATTGACCATTAGATTACTTAAATAGCCCCTCAAATTGTCTTAGGCCTGGTTTATACTAGGAACTTAGATCAAATTTATTCACATAGGGTCAATTTTCTCAACAATGAGTCCATGTTACTAAGCCTGTCCTGTCGACCATAAGGGCCACTGAAGTCAATATTGGTACTCCTGCTTTTATGAGTAATGCTAAATTTGACATAGGCTTGGTCCTGAAGGCTCTAAAGAGACCTCCTTTTGAACCTCTCCCCTCCTGTTCCCTCCTTCATCTGTCAGTGAAAGTGTCCTTCCTAGTCATGATAACCTGAGCAAGGATACTGGGGGAAACAGTGGTGCTTATGGCAAATTCACCCCATCGCAGTATTTATGAAGGATAAAGTCATTCTATGACCTCACCCAAAATTCCTGCGAAAAGTAGTTTCTACCATTCATATCAATGAGCCAATATATCTACCTATCTTCTTTCCTAAACTGCATAATTACCACTTAGAGGCCTAATTTCACACTTTGGATGTCAGGAGAGCACCTTCTTTCTATTTGGACAGAACCTGATCGTTCCGTAAATCTCCCAGGCTATTCCTGTCCATCAAGGGTGATCCAGAGGTCAACCAGTAACCTCATAGCTCATTGCCAGGTGGATATATCATGCATACAACGTCACTCCTTATGGAATAAGCAGACTCCACTCCACATCATAGCATATTCCACAAGAGCCATGGTGATATTCATGATGTTTTTAGCTAATATACCCATGTTAGAAATTTACATGGCTGCCATGTCATCAGACCATACCTTTGCTAACCATTATGCTATAGCATCAGATCCGATCCCTACCACTACCATAGGTTGAACAGTTCTTTCTTCTCTGGTGCAACCACCTCTCCAAAGCCCCCCTCCATCAAGGCACTGCTCTACAGTCACCTGTGGCACACCCACGGGGATACAACTTGAAAAAGAGCAAGTTAGTTACTTTACGGTAATGATGGTTCTTCGAGATGTGTGTCCTGTGGTTGCTCCATTACCCACCGTCCTCCCCTCTACTTGGGAGTTGGTAATCAAGATTCCATGGAAGAGAAGAAATGGGGGGGGGGGAGGATCGTGCAGCATGCAACTAACAGATAAATGGCACGAAAGACAGCTACTACACATGTGAGGTGTGTCCAGATCCTGCTAAGAAAATTTTCTGATTGGCTGGTTTTGAGGACGTGCCAACACTAGATTTGGAGCACCCACAGGATATACATCTCAAAGAACTATCATTACTGTACGGTAACTAACTTTTTCATGCATCTGATGAAGTGGGTCTTTGCCCACGAAAGCTTATGCTCCAACACTTCAGTTCGTCTGTAAGGTGCCACAGGACTCCTTGCCGCTTTTGCAGATTCAGACTAACATGGCTACCCCTCTGATACTTAACTTTTTCATACATACCAAAGGAGTTCAGTGTGCAAATTTTTTACATTATATATGCTTACATTATAATTTCAAGTTATTTTTCTGGGATTTTTTTTGCGGGGGCAGGAGAAGAGTACATTAGAACAGCCTTACTGGCTCAGACCAAATGTTCATCTAGTTCAGTATCCTGTCTGCCAATGCCAGATGCCCCAGAGGGAGTGAACAGAAACAGGTAATCATCAAGTGATCCCTCTCCTTTCATCCATTTCCAGCCCCTGACAAACAGAGGCTAGGGACACCATTCCTACCCATTCTGGCTAACATTCTGGAGAATCAGCTTTATGATGTACTTTTTATAATAGTGTTCTGTTCTATCGTTTATGATCATTGTCTCTGAATTAGTCACCATGTAGCACTTTTTTCACTTTCTAGCAGCCTGTAGGAGCTGTTTCTCTTGGCATTCCAGTAACAAGAAAAAAAGAGGATGAGGTATCAGTTGGAAGCATGCCTTTGGCAAAGCAGCAGTCAAATCAAGCTTCTGAGTATGCCAGCAGCCCTGTTAAAACAAAAACTGTAACAGGTACGTTCTGTTTTTAATTGAATCTAACCATTTTGTCTTCCCACCCCACATAATACACACATATTTTTAGTGGAATTACAATTTTCAGTTCATTTTAAAATGGTCGTTTAATTTTACAATTTATGTAATCCATATCATATTTTTCAATTCTAAAACATTTTATTTACCTATTTTTGCTATTGGCATTGAGTGTTCTTGCTAAGCTAAATGAAGGAGTGCGCTTACAGTAGAATTTTAATTATTATCTTGGTACATAATGTCTTATGCACCAGTCCTGTGCATATGGTTAGTTTTCTTCACTGTGAGTAGTCATGTTGATGTCGATGGGACTACTCACAATCTCATTCTAACATGTTCAGAAGTCTTTGCAGGATCAAGATCTTATGTTTAAACATAGTACAATGCTCTGTTAGTAAGACCACCTCTCTTTTGAAAATGTATTAGCCATTGTAGTAAGATGAGGGTCTAAAACATAAGCCCAGATATTACAGGCCAGGTATGAGGCCTGTAGCCTAGACAGCAGTGGTCAAGACTTTGCTAATATAAAGCAGAGTTAAGCTGTGAGCAAGAGGCACAGAGAAGTTAGCAAGAACAGGGCTAATCTTACAGAAACACTTGTAACTAAGAGGCACTAAGCACAGGCTGTAAGCACATTCCAGAGGAGTTGTAACAGAACACCTTGTTAAGAAACATCTTGGTACGAACACACATCCCACAAATAACATACATGCAAATGCAGGTTCAGGACTGGGTCTGAATTGACAGCATGATGGATAGTTATTGAACTCCCCTTGTGTGTAGTAAGGCCCAGTAACTAGGCAATAGAGGGTGACAACCTGATAGGTTAGGAATAATGTGTAACTTGTTTGTACCTGTGAATAAAAGTGCATCCAAAGGGTGGTCATCGGCTGACCATGGGGGCAGTATTGAATCCATAGTATTAATTGGGTATTAGTCCATTGTCATGGTGTACATATGTATAGTGTTTCAGCGGCAAGTCTATTGCTGGCAAATATTATTGTACTTCACTTGGCAATAAAGCTGGCCGGGTACTTTCGATTCTTATTTGATTTGTGGCCTCTGGGGGCTCTCTCAAAGTCTGTCATGTTGACTAATTGAACATGGTTAACGCGTTAACCTGGAGAGCACACGCGCACAGCTGAAAGTTTATTATTATTGACGGAGCAAAGGACCTGTCAGGAACCCATTGGGACACCTAATTGACAACAGCCAGAAGTTATTTTTCTGTCTGTAACAAAAATTTAAATGCTGAAGTAGTTTGTGGTCCTTTACAAATTTTTATGCTTATGTTGTAGTGTGCTCTTACTAATTATTAATTAACATGACAGTCTGTAAATTTTTCTAACTTTCTTCAGTTGTTATTATAAGGCACAACCAACTATTGATTCCACCTATTTGAAAAGTATAGTAATCCTTATAAAATACATGTGGCCAAATTCTGAATTCATTTAGGGTATGTCTAGACTACAGGCTTTTGTCGTGTCGACAAAGCTTCTGTCGACAAAGAGCATCTAGACTACATCCAGTTCTGTCGACAAAGCAAGCCGCATTGTCAACATGAGAGTGTAGATGCAATAACGCCGTCTGTCAACAGAACTCTGTCGACAAAAGGCGTTATTCCTCGTAGAATGAGGTTTACCACCATCGACAAAACTGCCGAGTTCTGTTGACATTATGTCGACAGAACTCGGTGGTAGTGTAGATGCAGGTATAATTTTGTTGACAAAAGGCCACTTTTGTCGACAAAACCCTGTAGTCTAGACACACCCTTACACTGGTATACATTCCCATATATAACTTATCATTGTCCTCATTCCTGTGTTCTTTTGTCAGCACTATATGATTGGCATCTTTAGGAACCTGATTTGGAACCTGGCAAAAGTGATGCATAAGCTAATAGATTCCCAGAAGATGCATGATTTTTCTGTAGAATCTGTTATAATGAGCTCTGCTCCCTCTAGGGTTAGTTGTCACTATGACATGAGTAAAGAAGATGTTTCTTCTTTTCCTTGAAGTGCTTATTGTCTGCACCTTACCAGTCTGATCTCATTAATGCACAGAATTTCATGTCTGTAGTTGTCCATCTCCCTCATGATTTCCGAGATATTTTATATTAAAAACATTGATCTCATGTCCAAGTAACCAACTCTGAAATGTTTTCTTGCTGAAAGCATCGAAGTTTTGAGCTTCTAAGTCTGTTCCAGTCTAAGTTGTGGCTCTGCTTCCAGCTGTACCTCTTGCCCTACTGTGGTCCCTGCTCCCACTTTCACCCCAGGTATGGACCCTGGGGGTGCAAACTAGAAAAGGTGGAGGCACAACTAAAAATGTTTGAGGACTCCACCTTAGTGAAACCTTAAAAAGATACCTTTGTACTTTTCAAAAGAGGAATGTGGAAATGCCTTTTGACTAGTCGAGTAGTTGATAGAAATTCCATCGACTACTCGACTAGTAAATTACTCGATATTTAACATCCTTACTGTTGTACACGTCACCTCAGGATGGGATGCAGAGATAAAAATCTTGATACCTTAAATGACAATTCTTGATTTAGTCCTAAGTAGAGCACAGACTTTGGTCCAAGAAGTAAACATAACTGTACGTCTTGGGAAAAGTGACGATAGTGTAATAAAATTTAGCATCCATGTAGTGGGAAAAGCACCTCAGCAGCCCAATACTGTGGCATTTAATTTCAGAAAGGGGAACTACACAAAAATGTTAAACAGAAATTAAAAGCTATAGTACCAAAAGTAAAATCCCTGCAAGCTGCATGGAAACTTTCAAAGACACCCTAATAGAGGGCCACATTAACTGAATACCCGAAATTTAAAAAAAAACAGTAAGAGAACCAAAAAATTGCCACCATGGCTTAACAACCACGTAAAAGAAGCAGAGAGAGATAAAAAGGCATCGTTTAAAAAGTGGAAGTTAAAACCTACTGAGGAAGATAGAATCATAGAATACTAGGTCTGGAAGGGACCTCGAGAGGTCATTGAGTCCAGTCTCCCACCCACATGGCAGGACCAAGTACTGACTAGACCATCCCTGAGAGACATTTATCTAACCTAATCTTAAATATCTCCAGAGATGGAGATTTCACAACCTCCCTGGGCAATTTATTCCAGTGTTTGACCACCCTGACAGTTAAGAACTTTTTCCTAATGTCCAACCTAAACCTCCCTTGCTGCAGTTTAAGCCCATTGCTTCTTGATCTATCCTCAGAGGCCAAGATGAACAAGTTTTCTCCCTTCTCCTTAGGAGACCCTTTTAGATATCCGAAAACGACTATCATGTCCCCTCTCAGTCTTCTCTTTTCTAAACTAAACAAACCCAATTCTTTCAGCTTTCCTTCATAGGTCATATTCTCTAGACCTTTAATCATTCTTGTTGCTCTTCTCTGGACCCTCTCCAATTTCTCCACATCTTTCTTGAAATGCGGTGCCCAGAACTGGACACAATACTCCAACTGAGGCCTAAGCAGCACAGAATAGAGCGGAAGAATGACTTCTCATGTCTTGCTCACAACACACCTGTTAATGAATCCCAGAATCATGTTTGCTTTTTTTGCAACAGCATCACACTGTTGACTCATATTCAGCTTGTGGTCCACTATAACCCTAGATCCCTTTCTGCCGTACTCCTTCCTAGACAGTCACTTCCCATTCTGTATGTGTGAAACTGATTGTTCCTTCCTAAGTGGAGCACTTTGCGTTTGTCTTTATTAAACTTCATCCTGTTTACCTCAGACCATTTCTCCAATATGTCCAGATCATTTTGAATTATGACCAGAGCAGTCACAACTCTCCCAGCTTGGTATCATCTGCAAACTTAATAAGCGTACTTTCATTGCCAATATCTAAATCGTTGATGAAGATATTGAACAGAGCCGGTCCCAAAACAGACCTGTGCAGAACCCCACTTGTTATACCTTTCCAGCACAATTGAGAACCATTAATAACTACTCTCTGAGTACGGTTATCCAGCCAGTTATGTACCCACCTTATAGTAGCCCCATCTAAGTTGTATTTGCCTAGTTTATTGATAAGAATATCATGCGACACCATATCAAACGCCTTACTAAAGTCTAGGTATACGATATCAATCACTTCTCCCTTATCCACAAGATTCGTTATCCTATCAAAGAAAGCTATCAGATTGGTTTGACAGGATTTGTTCTTTCCAAATCCATGCTGGCTGTTCCCTATCACCTTACTATCTTCCAAGTGTTTACAGATGATTTCCTTAATTACTTGCTCCATTATCTTCCCTGGCACAGGAGTTAAACTAACTGGCCTATAGTTTCCTGGGTTGTTCTTGTTTCCCTTTTTATAAATGGGCACTATAGTTGCCCTTTTCCAGTCTTCTGGAATCCCTCCTGTCTTCCATGATTTTCCAAAGATGATAGCTAGAGGCTACCTCCTCTATTAGCTCCTTGAGTATTCTAGGATGCATTTCATCAGGCTCTGGTGACTTGTAGGCATCTAACTTTTCTAGATGATGTTTAACTTGTTCTTTTTTTTATTTTATCTCCTAAACCTACCCCCTTCCCAGTAACATTCACTATGTTAGGCATTCCTTCAGACTTCTCGGTGAAGACCGAAACAAAGAAGTCACTTATTTCCTCATTTATAAGAAAGGAGCACAAATTCTGTCAAATTAAGTGAAAAAATATAATAAGGAAAGCGAAAAATGAGTTTGAAGAACAGCTACTCAAAAAGTAATAGCAAAATGTTTAAGTATATCAGAAGCAGGAAGCCGGCTAAACAACCAGTGGGGCCACTGAGTGATTGAGATGCTAAGGGAGCACTCAAAGACAATAAGGACAGTGTGGAGGAAATAAATGAATTCTTTGCTTGGTCTTCACAGCTGAGGTTATTAGAGAGAGTCCCAAACCTGAGCCATTATTTTTTTTTTGGTGACAAATCTGAGGAATTGTCCAAGATTGAGGTGTCATTGGAGGAGGTTTTGGAACAAATTGATAG